CCATTTAGCTCAGGCCCCTCTAAATAGGGTACGTCTACTCTAAATTTCACGTGACCCAAGGGGTTAATCTCATAGTATATATACACCTTCAGTATCCGTTTTATAATAAAAATTTTCATATTTTTAATAATCCAAGTGGTTTCAGTATTATTGGCTGAAAGGGAAGGAATCGGTCTTGATTTTTTTACCTAAAAATACTCAGACCACCATTTATAAATAGAGAAAAAAAATAAATACAGTGTCTAATGGAAATTAACATATCCGCCATATTATTATAATTAGTCATTGCCATCTAGTAGGGATAAATAAACCTCATACTTTTTAAATTACAATAAAAATATAAATATTTATTATTTTAGTTTGGTTTAGATTTGATGAATATATTATTTAAGATATCACAGATATTTGATAATTTTTAATAAATCAAAATTTTTTAAATGCTATAATTTCAATGCGAAGGATTATTTTGGACTAAATCTGATTTTAATATATTAATCTCAAAGTAGTTCTAAGATATAGAATTTTGATATTTGATCATATTTTCAATGAAATAATAGAGGTATTAATTTTTAAAATGAATTATTATTTTAAAATAAATTTTGATTTATTATTTAAAAAAGATTTTCTTATTTGCCTTCAAATTAAAATACGAGTCGTGCCTAACATTTTGAATCTTAACTTTGGCATCATATAAATTTAAATATAATGTTTAGTCATTAATTACAGGAAATCTGAAATTACAAACTGATTGATAATAATCGCATCTTATTATATTTTTTCATAAAGCTTAAATTTTTTTTTCTTATTAGTACACAATTATTGAAGTATAAATTTTATTCACTATGAGACATCTGATTTGATGATGAACCCAAAATTTTATTATGATTAGAAAAAAAAATGACAAATGTAAATTATAATTTAAAATTGACAATATTAGATAATTACAATTATTTAAAATAATAATTGACAATATTAGTAAATCACAATTTTTATAAGATGGAAAAAATGACCATATTAACAAATTACAATGTTGTATAACACTTTATACCAAAAAAATGTAATTAATTTATTCGTATATTTTTTTAAACATTTTTGCTTGTGTGATATAATTATGTATCATGTATAAAATAAAATAAATTTCATGCCAACTACCACCCTATCACTAAACTTAAGCAAATGTAAATTGGGCTCCCCTTCTGACTATACCTCTATTTTACAGTCCATCTTCCATAAATAATAAGACCTTACACTCTTTAAATTAATTTTTATAATTACTCAAAATAAATGATATATGTTATATGGGGTCTAGTTTCTATAAATAAAATCTAAAATTTTTATTTAACATTAAAAATTCAACATAAAATTGATAAATTTAGACATATTTAAAAAAATTTCAAAAGACCGACCCGACTCGGCCCGAATTTTTTAAAAAAATAATAGGCCCGGTTAAGCCCGAATTTTTTAAAAAATATTCCGGCCAAACCCGAATTTTTATAAAATATTCCGGCCGAACCCGAATTCTTTAAAAAATATTCCGGCCGAACCGGGAAGGGCCGGGCTCGGGCCTACTCTTGCAGATCTCTACTTCCTATATCAGTAGTTATTGGCAATCGATTCCCAAATTTTCTTGTACCTTGGGGGTTTATTTCCCCCTAAAATATCTTCTATTACATTAAAAGAGGCAGACATTTGCCATCGTGTGATAAATTTAACATGAGCCCTTTTTCCAGCTTTTATTCCTTCATCACTCGAACATGTAGCATTCAATTTAGACAACAAATTCTCCACTCCCTGGGTCAAAGGATTGCCTCTAATTTTAAAAATTTTACCTTTATATACTCTTTATCAAATTTCTCTTCAATCTCTCAAAACCTCTAGCCAGTGTTTGGTAGTAAAGCGAATACTTGTAATAAACTTCTTTGTATTTATTATAGTATTACTTGGCGTAGCAGGGATTTCCAAAAGGAGGGGAGAAGGGTTAAAAAGTTTTTTAAACCCCATATTTACCGACCTTCGGCCGACTTCCTTAAAATAAATTCTTATATATTATTGTTTTTTCGGTGGTATTAATATAATATCCATTAGAGTTGGCTAAACAATCCCTATTCAAAAATATGACAATGTTTTGTACTTTATTAGTGTCTTCCTTTAACCAGCATAGTAATATAAAGGATGGCCAACCTTAATAAAATGTGACTGAGAGAATTTATTCAGTAAATTTTATCAATGATTTTAGATCATAATATATTAATTTAATCCGTTTGGTACACAGTATAAAGAAAAAAGAGAATTATTAAAATAGACATAGAGTTAAAATGGGAAATATAAAAAATTATATATCTGGCGTGCGGTAATACAATGACTGACTATCAATTCCTCACTCAAATATGAGAACCCTGAAAAGAAACTGAGTTATAAACAAAATGAATACTATGACGCCACGCTCTAAGCGTTAAGTGAAACAAGCTTTAAGAAACACTATATTTGAAACTAAACTATTAATTAGGGCATTATTCTATTTTATTGCTTTATTTTCCTTGGTAATTAGTATAAAAAGGAAAATTATCGGTAAAAAAAAATGTCAAAATTAGCATCATTACAATATGAAAGATATTGCATTAATATTTAGTGCCTTATTAATTCCTTAATCGATTTTGCCAGCCATTAAAAAGTACCTGCTTAAGCATAAAGTTAGCCAAACATTGGAAGCATTATCTCGGAAATTTGTATAATTAGTACATTTCATACTATCAGTGCGTTTGATAAATAATTCGAAGAAAAATATTTATGACAAAGTAAAAAAAATTGGCATAATGCTAGAAAGAAAAAATAGAAAAGGTAAATAAATTACAATAAGTCTTAAGCTGTATCTTATATATCAAATTTTAAATTATCAAAAATCAATTTGGCCTGAAAATATTAAGGTTTGTATTATATAGAAGAGAATTAAATTCGAATAAGCGTTTTAATTCAATTACTATTACGATTAAATTCAATTTCAGGTTAAAGTCATAATAGGAGGAATTCAGTATTATAAAAAGAATTTTATATGAAACTAAGAAATGCTAAAATCAGGGATCCAAAGATAACCTGAACCGAACCAGTAAACCGCTAAAAACCGGTATATTATCGAACCTAAACCGCTAAAAAAATTCTAGCTGAACCTGAACCGAACTGCCAAAATGTGCCTGAACCTGTACGAGTCTCATAATTTTATGCTTATAAAATAATGTGTAAGTTATTACTCATATATAGCAAAATTTTTAATTCTATTCGAATTGTTTCAAAGATTATTATTATGAATCACATTTAATTGATAAGTGTCAGTCATAATTTTTATAAACTTTATTATTTTGCCATTTTACAATATTTTTTAAATAGCTTATAAATTATAATGCCTAGAGAAAAATTAAATCCAATATATAAATTATTTACATATAGTATTATAAATGACACATCAAATCTGATAACATAGGGGAGACCAGGGCTAGTCGGCGCAAGGGGCTTGTAGGTTCAAAGGATTTTATTTTAAAACCAGTAAAGATTAAAAATTGAAATTTAGTTCTAAAATAGAATTCTATAATATCCATAATTGGGGATAAAAATAATTTATAATATTTAGCTATTTAAATTTTTATCCGTTATGACATGTTTTTGACATATAAATTATTATTTAATATTATTAGGTTTTATTAAAAAATTAAAAGTTTAAACATGACAAAATGAACATTATATGAAAGTTAAATATCTATTTTAATATTTTGGAAAGTTTCAGATTGATATATAATGCTTAAATATATGTTAAGATCAAATTAGTAATATTACCACCATTGAGGTTAGTAGAATCGTGGCTAGTCGGCGCAACCAATCAATTTTTATTATATTATTATGGTACCCAAATATATATGTGTAATTCAAAATAGTAAAATTTTTACTAAAAAAATATTATGAAGAAACTATAAAACTGTATGAAAATAATATCTCATTAAAAAAAATACCATTTGTTACAGGTTAAAATATAATATTTTATAAATGTAATATATTAAATAATAATTATTATATAAATTTATTAATGTGATTGATTTTTCATAATACATTTCAATTTTAATATAATATCAGACCTAAATAAATATCTTGCAAACTAAAATCTTTATATACATATTGTGATAATATATTATATATTGTACAGATAATCATAATACAATATTTTATAAATGTAATATATTAAATAATTATTATTATATAAATTTATTAATGTGATTGATTTTTCATAATACATTTCAATTTTAATATAATATCAGACCTATATAAATATCATGCAAACTAAAATCTTCATATACATATTGTGAATATATATTATATATTGTCACAGATATTATATATATTGCATATATAAATTTTAGCCTGATAATAAGATCAATTATTTAAATTAATTATATCTAGCAAATAAATATAATATATATTTTTTTTTAATTGACAATATAAATTCAAATTAATACATTTTATTAGATATGAACATTTTAGCATATAAATTTTAGCCTGATAATAATATAATATATTTAAAATGAATTATATCTAACAAACAAATATTTATATATATATCTATTTTAATTGACAATATAACATGATTCAAATTAATTCATTTTATTGGACATGAACATTTTAGTTATCAGATTATATTTAGCCTGATAATAAAATCAAATGATGTTATATATTTAAATATAGAATTAGATAAATTTTGAGTAAATTTATTATTAATAAATATAAACATTAATAAAAGATGTGTGTATTATATGTAAACAGGATTATAAAAGTTTTCATAATTTTGAAGATTGGTTTCAATGTAGAGTAGTTCTCTGTCAAAAAAGATTGTTATTTTATTTGTTGTAATTATAAATAGAATATTATATAAATAAAGTATCATAGTTATATATTAACATCTGCGAAAAAAATTTTTTGTCCCATAAGAAGCCTACTAAACCACTTGATTCGACTAGCCCCATCGATGATCCGACTAACCACGGGTTCGGGGCTACTAGGTTCAAAAAATGACTTTTACTAAAACCTTTCTAGAAAATAATTATTAAATATTTAAAAAATATAACAGTATATATTTATAGGTAGATGTTTAAGGTATCTATTGATATTTTGTAAGATCTTATATGATCATTATTTTCTGAGCTATGATGATTTTGACAAAAATTGCGCCGACTAGCCCTGGTCTCCCCTACTGGCAGTGCCGGCTACCCAAGTTAGTGTGGAAAGATGTTTTTCAACAATTAAATTTATATTAGCTCCTTATAAATGTAATTTGAGTGAGACGAATTTTGAAAAATATATTAAATTGTGTGGATTAATAAAAAAAAGTAAAGTAATTGTTCATATTAAAATTAATCATTGATATTTATTTGTTATATTTTTAAATAAAATATTATTTTATAATGTACAATTAATAAAAATGAAGGTTTTGTGAATGTGTTTTTTTATTTTAATCATGAAATAAAAAAATATTCTTCCCTATACAAATTCGAATGTATATTTGAATACAAAGGTGTTCAAACAGGTTTTTAGAGGTTCGAACCGAACCGATATTTTTATTTATACTAACCGCACTTGAACCGTTATTTTTATCCAAAACTGAACCTGAACCAAACTGATATTCGTTTCGGTTTGGATCCCTGGCTAAAATTATGAAATATGTAAGAAAAAATGAGTAAGATAACAAAAAATCGCGACGGCATAAATTTTATTTATTTATATATTAAATATATAAAGTAATTGTTAAACACTTAACACGAAAGGTTAGCATTTATTATTGATACTTTTTCTAAAATCACTTATTATTTATTTTTCTACCTAATGAGATTTTCAAATATATGTATATATAAAAACTAATTCCTGTAGCAAATCTTTTTACGAATTTAAAACAATAATTGTCTTAATTCTGATATTTAAAAAACTAAATATTATGGGAGAATGAATTTAATTATATTTATATCATATTGAATTTCACTAATTTAAACTTTAAAATAAGTTTTTTGACTAAGAATTATTATATTGGTAGGTATAAAATAATAAAAATTTATAAAATATGACAATTAGTTTATATAAATCTTATAAAGAATAATAAAATTGATTAGAAATTAATACATCGTAACAAAATAAAACAGTAATATTTTTGGCAAATATGTATAATTGGATATCCTTCAATTTTTAATCTTTTAGTTTAGGATCCTCTAAGACACAAGTGTATTGTTATAGTCTTATATACTCTCGGGGGTGGGGAACGGGGAGGTTAATCTTAATTTACAAACACACATGAATCCGTTATATAAATCATTTTATATTTATTTTCCTTAGGGGAATCTCAGCTTAATTCTCTCTAAGTGGAGAAAAAATATCAATACATTTCTAAAGGAAATTGACATTAATCCCGCATATCATTATAGTTAGTTTATTAATTTTTTAAATAAACTATAATTTTGAAATACATTTTGAATATGATTTAGAATAAGATTATCTATGCCTTAAAATTAAAATTCAAGCTTAGACAACCAATGGAACATATAAATTTAGAGAGATTTTTTTATTTAACAAATTATAAAAAAACAAACTTGATTACTAATAATCTGGCACTTTAAAATATTTTTATCGTAAATTAATTTTATTTTTAGTATCTCATTGAATATTAGCTTTAAAAAAAATCAAATACATTTGATTTGATGCTGAACCCAAAATTTTATTATGATTTTGAATAATTATTTTAAAAATAGTTGACAATATTAGTTAATCACACTTTTAAAAAGATTTAAATAATATAGTTGACAATATTAGTTAATCAAAATTTAAAAAAAAAAGAAGACTATAATAATAGACCCCAATTTAACCAAGCACCTTTATACAATGTAAAAAATAATTGTTATACCAAAATTATTTATTAATCATTCCAACAATTTAATTTTAAATTTCCCAAAAAGTTTAATGGCCCATTTCTAATTTGTTTATTATAAAAAATAGATTGTAATTAAAATTTATTAAATAAATAATAAAATAAAAATATATTCTTAATCTTACGCCAGCCATCACCAAACTACTTAACTTGAGTAAATATAAATTATGCTGCTATGCCCTTCTAGGTTTCTCATCAATTTGCTTCTGAAGATTAATCTTTTAAATAACATAAACACCTGACATTAACCTCCAAAATTTAACCAACCGGCAATCCGAAGAACTAACCAAGCATCAATGTATTAAAAATTGTAATGATTATGAATGGCTAAATGCTATTCCTTATCAATCACATGACTATTTCCTAATACAGGTCCCAAATGGCTCCATGCTAAAAACAAATATGATTATCATACACATCTATGGCCTATGCCCGTAGTAAAGGGTACCATATATTTATTGCAGATGCTAAGAAGGTAGGCATTCGCACTATTGTAAAATAAATGTTCTCATATCCTTTCAACCGCTCTTTAACATTTGAACCTGTTGGAATACCTAAACAAATCCACGGTAAAATAAAACTCACGAGACTAAAGAACGGCCTCTAGTTTAGAATTATATTTGTAGAGACTTGTTAACACGAAAAATTTCTTCAATCACTACCACTGAAACCTCGGAACGCCTTAATATATTAATTTTATATTTTGACCATTCATCATTTCTATACAGGAGAACATTGGCAATGATACATTATTTTTCTAAAACTGTAGGAACACTACTGAAAAATCTGTAAAATCACAAATAATATAAGTCTTGAACAACAAGCTTTTCGACATTCATTACTCAATATATATTTTTTTTAAATAAAAAAATCAATAATTAATTGCTAATCGGAACGGTAAAAATAAAAAAAAATAATAAAAACAATTAATTTAATACAAGGTTTAAACTAAGTTTATATAGAAATAATTTATAACAAGCAAAAATAAATTATATTTTTAAACACAATTACTATCTTCTATAATTTCAACGAGAACTGGCCTGGTATCTCTGTCAAATAACATTTTAATAAATATACAGATCTAACTGCTTCCATCCATGTTAATCATGCTCTATTTATCCAAAAGTCAATGAGACTCTTGGAGTTTTTAGATATGACTCCGTAAAATGTATTAGCGTAATATGCTAGGCGCAATATGTCATAACATAACCTTTTCAGAGAGTCAATTAGTTATAAACAATTATCATATAAAAATTATCCATTAAAAAAAAATGAAAAAATATGTAATTAATAAATATACATATCTACTTGATTTTTTAAATGTATAATCTGTTTATGTAATAAAAGTTAAGAATAACAAATTAAGGAGTCGATATAATAAGATTAATTAATCAAATCAAATAATTTTAAACTATGTTAAATTAATCATAATTGAAGCAATAAAGGGGTTTTCATATAGTAATAATTTAGACACAATAAAAATAAAAACAAAAACATCCAATTCAAAAAGTTAAATCGAACTTTTAATTTATTCATATAAATTTAAATTTAATATCATTGAAAATTAATATTTCTTAGAAAATATATGATAAAATTTAAAACTAGAATATATCCAAATTAAATTTTATAAATTTTTTACTATTACATAAATCAGCAAGGCTTATTTAATCTCCTTCTTGAAACAAATTGCTACAAGGTTATGAACAAAAAAAATAGATTATATTTTGATTGAATAATATAAAATTCTGAAAATATAATAATGTTATTTATATATTATGAAAATATAGTTATTTTTATAGCTACTTAAGAGCAGATCTATATTAAAAATAATTGTGAAAACCGATTCTTTTTCCCCCTTGAAAAACCTATCGCTACCCCTCTAAAATATTTATAGGTTGGCTGCGATTAATTAATATTTTTTCTATTTTAGTTTTCAACTTTTTAAGGGGTTAGCTCCTTCAGTATTTATTATCATTTTATGTAAATATACAATTTGTATCCAGTCAACTCTTAACCTTGAATTCGATATAGTTATCCGCATGCCCACATTATCAATCTATTTATGATGATTTTTGTGTTTTTATGAATTTTACCTTTAAGCATCCTAGTATATATATATATATATATATTTCTAATATTAATCCTTTTAATTTATGCCAGCTATTATTTTCAATTCCCATATACATTATTTAAGCTTTTCTCGTCTTATTTTTTGCTTGGACATGTTTCTCTATATTGGATAGTTACTTTTAATATAGAACTGTATATCATAGCCTAATTTGTGTGGAATTCTTTTGTTAAAGTATTGCTCTGTAAATTTCTCTATCTTAACCCATCCTTCCTTATTTTAGATCATGCTTTATAGAGTGAAACCCAGATATTTGCAGCCCTCGTTTGTCTGTAGTTGCCATTAATAATCAATCACATCTCCACCAATTATCATATATTCTATATTTTCCTTATTGACATTCAACCTATGATTTTCTAGGATACACCTATATAACACTTTAGATGTTCATAAAAATAATTCTTCAGAATATTATATATAAATATTATCCAAACTATTTGATTATCTATTTAAAATCATGAACAAAATAAAAATAAGGTATCATAATTTAAAAAATAACGAATAAACTGGTTTTTAATAATTAAAATTTAGTCCAAATATAAAATAAAGTTTTTAAATGTTGTCTGAAAAGAATAACCTTGACATGTATTTCTTGCAATTATTAATTATTCTGCCCCTTGATCTAAAAAAATTGTTTATTTTATTTTCCCTATCTCTTAACTTACCCTAAAACCCTTCCTACTTGTAAGCGTTCTCTGCCAAATATACAATTTCATTACGTTATATTTTTAAGGGCATTTTTTTCTATGGGGGATTTTTTGAGAGTCAAATTTTATGTTTATCTAAATATTACAAAAAAAGTCTTAAAATTTTAATTAAAATCATAAATAAAATATAACAAATATATAAAAAATAATTCTTAGGTAAAGCTACATTAAACATTATATGAGAGATCTGCAAATTACGGGTCGGGTTTTTAAAAAATAATTTATATTTGGGCTCTAATATTTTTTAAAAAATTTCGGACCGAGCTGAGTCTGTTTTAAATTTTT